TAAATTCATTAAATAAATCGCCGTAAAAAATGAGAACAAAACTAATATAAACGCCAATGTGTGATTATCTTTCAAATCCCATGGCGAGACTGAACTTCTGTCTCCTAATGATGTATAAAAATTAGTACTGTAATTTATTTATAGTATATTTAATAATAATATAATATAATACCTGTTAGCATGAAATAAACGGCTAATAAAGCAGTATCTAAAAATGAAAATAAGTTTGTGCTGTCACTTGGAGTTGCAATGAGAGATGGTTTTCCGACAACGCCATCGGAGGAAATAGGTTGATATGTTGTAACAAGATTCCAAGGATTGTTGCTGTCAACGGCGGAACTTGGCTCATCGATATTAAATTCGGTAGTCGATCTTAACAGGATGTGTAAAGAATGGGAAAATGCAAAAACTATAATACCCAAAATTAAAATAAAGTAGGAAATTTTTTTCATTACTCCGACTATAATTGCAAAATATGTTCCATATTTATCGAGAGCACGGAAAAAAGTTAAGAATTTGAGTTCAAGTACAAGTATTGATATAGCGATAATCCATAATGGTGGTGGACTGTCATAAAACATCCACATAATTGAAGTTGTCATTGGAAATATTAAAGCGGCGAGATCTGCAAATAAATTAAGTTAGAACTAATAACATAATAAATACGTATTGGTTATGCATTAAATATAGAATTATACAAACCAAGCCAGTTCCAGGGACTTGTAATATAATATCTTATGTCGTGGATAAATTGTCGAAGTTCATAAGTATACTGAAAAAGTCCAAGAATTATTGTTATCGACAAAAGTTCGTTTGTCGGTGAAAGATTATCTTGTGGAAGTGTTGCAACTATGGAAAAACATAGTAAAAATATCGTGTATTGTGCCCACATGAAATAATAAAAATATCTCCCATACTTGCTCCACTTGAAATTGACAAGAGCTTTAACGTTAGGCCATTTATAATATTCAGGAGAATTTAATGAGGTAAAAATGTTGTCGGGTGGTCTAAATAGCTCTTTAAAAATGTTATAATTTTTTTCAGGGTATGTAGCAAAATTCAATAAAGGTATCATTAACTTGACGGTTTTTTTTGGAAATAAGGTAGGATCTGTGGCAGGATCTTTTTTAAAAAGTTTGAAAATCCAGCAATCGAAAAATGAATCGTTTAATGAAATTGGTAAAGTTATGTAAGGGTCCGTGTAAATTGAAGTAGATGATCTATTTATAAGACGTTTATTATAATCAGGAATTAAAAATGCGGTAGAAGATAAATAATCTTCTGTAAATCTGCCGAGTGATTCTAGTTTTAGAAGATTAGAAGTAATTATACCTAATAAGTTGGTATAATTAGAAATAATATTGCCTTTCTGAAACTGATTTAAACTATGATTGATAATAAGGTTAAATAATTTTTTACTTTTTTTATAATTATTCATTTGAACGAAATTTTGGAGCAATTCTCTTCCATATAATTTCAGATATAGGATATCATTTGTATATCTTTTCAAGAATTCTGAATGCATAACATCCAAATCCTTTTCTCGATACAAAGGTTTTTTTCCATGTTTAATTATTTCGTCGAAGTACGGAGGAGGTAACGAGTTTTTATAATCTTCGGATTCTAATCTCTTCTTTAGCAAAGTAAGTTGTTTAACCATAGCTTTTATCGGCGAATCCACTCCATAATGCGTTGTCAAATTAGCCCAATAATAAAGTAAGTAAACGGAATTATCTTTTACTGTCCAGATTTGTATTCCAAAGGAGGCGATCAACATCAAATCTTCGTTTCCAAGTAGTCGAAATTCTGCATTAATTTCTTCTTTTTTTTTCACGCGTAAATATGTTTCTACTGTTCCTATTTCCACTTCCGTCGCAGTCCGTTTAGCAGTTATTTTAGCTGCTAATATATTGTTATGAGATGTTTCTTTAACAGTCCAGATATATTGGTTACCCTTTAACGTCACCGATAATTTCGAATCCTGGGTCGACGATTGTTCGGCTAACTCAAATTTTTTTGATTTATAAATTTTTAGAAATTTATCTATATTTTTTTTTATATCTTCTCGTTGTGAACCGACTCTAATTTCATCACAAGAGCCCTCTTTCTGATTCTCTTCTTTAAAAGAATGTAAATCGTCTTCAAGCTCATTGTGTTTATTGTTTAATTGATCTTGAAAGGACTGATCGTTATGATATCGTAGAAAAAAATCAATTTCAGCCGATAAATGAAATTCTCCTAAATTTTTTGATTCTGACGGAGAATTCGGCAAGGAATGGAGTTTGAGCAAAGAAGATTGTGATGTAGGAGGAGTAATTACATAAGATGTTTTCTCCTGTCCAAAATATACAAAGAGAAATTCCGAAGGTGCGGAACGCAGCGACCCTTCCTCTTCTTTTTCGAATTTAATAAAAAGTATCTTGCTAATTGATCTTTTATCAAACTTTATACCAGCGTTTTTTATAGTCTTTTTTTTTTCGTAAAACTTTTCATCAAACGATTCTATTAAATTACAGTAATTTATAGGTTAGTAATAGAATTGGATTATTTTTCTTGTGCGTAAATAGTACTTACGATTTCCTATAATTCTACCAGATTTCGTTGAATAAAAATAGACTCTTGAATTTTTTTCCTGCTTTGTATTTGAATCTTCTACATGCTTTGTATTCGAATTTTTTTCCTGCTTTGTATTTGAATCTTCTTCATGCTTTGTAATCAAATATTTTTCATACTTTGAATTCGAATATTTTTCATACTTTGTATTCGAATCTTCTTCATGCTTTGTATTCGAATCTTCTTCCTGATTTGTATTCGAATCTTCTTTCTGATTTGTATTTAAACGTCCAGCTACTGCAAGTATTTTTTGGTCACAGCTTAGTTCCATTAAAATACCTTTTCGATACTCGGCCAAACTCCAATCCAGTTCGTATTGTTTCTCAAACTTTAGTGTTAACAGATTCCATTGCATGATTACAAAAGGCAAATCTATGAGAATCAACACACTATCATGAGAAACAGCGGCATGTTTAAATTTAACGAGTTTAATTTTACTCGTGCTGTGCCACTTCCCTCCAATAAAAGAAAAGATGTGGACCTGATAAGTAGGATTCCCTTCAACAACTGCAAAATCTCCATTTGTAAGAAACCCACAATTTACTACATCTCCATCGTGTTCTCTATTATCTAATAATTTTTCTCCTTCTTCTCCTTCTCCTTCTTTATTATTACAATCTCTAGTTTCTATTGAAATAATTATATGCATTATTAAAAGAAGACATAGTTAAACTTTAGGAAGAACGCCAAACTTACCAAGGACGAAATAGCCCTTATAAAAGTTTCCAATAAGAATTTTGTTGAAATCTGAGACGCAAATTGGATTATATAAAACAGTTTCTTTAAGGTCAAAGAAATGAAATTGTTTTAATTCGAGATTTATTCTTCCTTGCTTAAACTCCCACACGCAAACTGAACGATTACGAAAATTCGCAGTTGCAAAATAATTCATCTTTGGCGAGAAAACAACTTTGTCTATTTTCACTCCATAATGTGGATTTTTGACATCGAAGTATGAAATTTTTTCATCCCTCGAAATTTCTTCATCAATCGAAATCCGATATTCGTTAGAGGCTGATTCGCTCATTTTCTATAGAATATTAATGAAGAGCATTTTCATACGCTTTATTTATAAAGAAATTTCTGAAATTCCTAATTAGACCCGATCCGATTTACTTATGCACTTATGTAAGGCTAAAGTGCATACGTAACGGTATGTACGCCAAAAGTTCGTATACAGGCAATTTTTGTTGAAGGAGATGAAAATTCAAATGTTATTTTCGATTCAATAAGCTAAACTAGTTATTCTTTGAACTTAAGGGCAGATTCTACTTAGAAACTTTGAATGTAAAAATGAACATACGACCGTCCGTTTACCTCAATAAACAACGAAAAGCAAGCCACCAACTTTTTTTTGTCAATAAAGGTTGAAGAACTTAAATTTAAATTAATAAATTCTTATTTCTATTGGAACTTTCCTTGTAGTCACTCGCATGGTCGAGGGTTGTCAGTTCATGCGTACAGCTTTGTTTTCAACTCAATAAATTGCATTCAAGATCAATAGATTCCTATTTTTATTGGAACTTTCCTTAAAGGCATTTGTGAAGCATAACCGTTGTGCAGTTTTGTTTCAATTCAATATGGTTACATTAAAATCAATTCTTTTTTCTATTGAAACTTTCCTTATACAGTAGGTCAACAATCATCATGCGCATAAGCTTGCCAAATACATTACGTACGTATAACAATTTGTATGTTCGATCAGAAATGGTCAGCAGAATGATATACTACTTACTGTTGTTAGCAGGGAAAAATGTGTAGGTCGATCCGGATCGCCGATAGTCACGTGACTAGACGCAAAGCAGCGGATCATGAATAGGGAAGTTTATCCAGCCGAAAGCTTAATTTGCATGACGCGACGGTAGTTTGGTAGACACGTCGCAACTTGTATAAATATAGCTAGAATTAGTTAGGAGGAGAAGAGACAATAATAATACTAGAAATAGTAGACCCAAAATATTATAATAAAGAAAATTGCTTATTAAATACCATTTGTACCTGTAATACAATAATTAATAAACTTACCTTTAGAGAGTTATTAGCCACAAAGAAATCCTAAAGGCACATAAAGGAATTTGTGATAGAGGATTAGTCTGACAATACAAGGGAAGGAAGTCTATTAATACATACATTTGATTAAGCAAGTAATTCTTAACCCCTATTCTTATCATTATGTGAGTTTTAACTTCAAACTAGCGACCGACTTGCCATATACCAATAACACTGTACAGTTACTCCCTTTTAAGGTTTGTAACTTTATTTAGTATTTTGTGTATACAAATCAATCATAATAATACTGTATTTTATGTTCTAAACTATCTCCTATAGAATATTTATTAGTTATATAGATATTTCAATGGTACATATTATATATTTATTATATATAATTTTATATACAGTTCCTCCAATAAATAAAGGACCACTTAAGAATTATTTTAATTAAACGGAAATAGTTGTCATATATTAAACTTTTTATTTTATTAGTAAAAACAACTTTTATATATTAAGTAAACTTGTTCCTC